TATACAGGGTGATTCATTAAGGATAAGACACTCATTTTCTCGGTAACTATTGAAAATTTTTAATTTTTGGTAAGGAAAATATTTTTTGATTCAAAAAACTCTACAATAATATGTAGTAAAAACATAATTTTTTTGATCCCTTCAAGGTTAAAAAACATTAATTTGCATTTTCTTAAATGGGAACCCCTATTTTGAATTTGTTATTATGATTGAACATAAAAATACAAACAATTTAGCTCTTACAATTTTTTTTTTCCGACCAACCGTTCGTCTGTTACAGCTTGTTAAAGTTAAATAATTTTGGACTAAATTTCTATTGTTGTTTTAATGTTTTCAATACAGAAGTCACTATTTTTCTATAATGTAATATACACTAATTGTTATTGACCAAGATATGATGACAAGTAAGATAGCAATAATAATTTACGACACACTAATTGAGTGATAGTAATAATAGATTCAAATCGGGTCTTAATCATAGTATTACTCTATGGTCTTAACTGTATTATTAAAAGCAAAGTCCATTGATTTGTATAGCAAGCTTTAATACTGATAAGTTAATTTCCTAGCCTCTCTTCACCGTAGTGTAGAGACTCGATACAATTCTATAATACGATAATGTTATCATGTGATATGACCAACAAAAATAATTTTTACTAATGTTGATTAATATTATGTTAAGTTTTAACATAACCTTTTAAACCACATCGGGTTTAACGCTAATTCTACGTGGTACTGCTATCCCATATAGTTAAATATTTTTATCCATTATTAAGTTGTTTAACTATCGTGTAGTTACAGTGTTTTAATGTAACATTTTAGTAAATGTTTTATTTTTACGTCGTAACAATTATTAAATAATAATTTAACCTTATTTAGATGATAAAACTGTACTAAAGTTATATAACGGGTAAGTAGAATTAACTACAAAATAAATTTATATTTATTTGATATAATCATTTTTTTTTTTAACTGCAGGTCAAATTTTCATATATGAAAATTGATACATCTAATTGCCAAATAATATATTTACATTTTTGGATGAAGACAATATTTAATAGATAAAAATAAATCATCTTCTTTCTTCTTAAGTTTCATTGAATTGATTAAGACATTTTTTTTTTATAACAATCAGATCACATTATAGTTAAAACTTTAAAAGTTGTTGTACAGGGTGGGGGGGCGCAGCCGACTGACGAGTTTACCTGAGAAAAGATAAGTGTAGACCTTTATCAGTGATTTATTTTGAATGCCACGGTTATGCCGTTTTTAGTCGTAATCATGGTTTGGACAGGTGTACATCGTGGTTTCGTCGTGCGCGCGTATTACGAAAATAACCATTCTGTAATCGCTACACAAAGAGCTTTTCGTTTAAACTTCGGCATTCCACGTGCCGAATCTGTTCCTTCTGCCAACACTATTAAGTTTTGGATACGGCAATTAGAACAAACTGGAAGTACCCTAAATGGGCGAGGACATGGACCACCCAGAACGGTAAGAACCCCTGATAATGTGCAGTTGGTTAGAGAGGCAATTGAACGGTCACCTAGACGCTCTGCCCGGAAACATGCGGTTGCATTGGGAATATCGAACCGTTCTTTGAGGAGAATTCTTCACGAAGATTTATCATTCCATCCCTATAAAATAATGCTTGTCCAAGAATTAAATGTTACTGACTACGGTAACCGCAAAAACCTTTGTCAACAAATTCTTCAGCAAATCCCTCCGACAGCAACTTTTTTCTGTAGTGACGAGGCCCATTTTCATCTTTCTGGAACTGTCAACAAACAAAATTTTCGATATTGGGCCAAAAATAACCCACAACAGCTCCATGAAAGACCACTACACTCTCCTAAAGTGACAGTGTGGTGCGCTGTGTCCCAATTTGGAGTGATCGGCCCGTATTTTTTTGAGGAGGATAACAGAACAGTCACTGTCACTTCCACTCGTTATGTTGTCATGTTAGAAACTTATCTGCATCAAAAGTTGGAGGAAATGGCTGATGAACATGATTTGGGAGATGTATGGTTTCAACAAGACGGGGCCACAGCGCACACCGCTCGAATTTCATTAGCTGTTTTGCGACAAATGTTTCCTAGGCGATTAGTCTCTCTGAGGGGTGACATAGGCTGGCCAGCACGCTCCCCCGATTTAAGCTCGTGTGACTTTTTCCTTTGGGGCTACCTAAAGGATAAGGTTTTCAGACATCGCCCCAATACCATAGAAGACCTAAAACAAAAAGTCATTCAGGAAATCGAGGCCATACCCATTGAAATGTGCCGAAAATCGTTCGTAAACTTCAGAGAACGTCTGAAACAATGTATTGATGTTGATGGCCGTCATCTTAAAGATATTATTTACAAAAAATTATTTTAAAAATGGGACTTGTAACTGATTTTAATAATACAATTTGTTTTCATATAAGTTTAACTGTTCGTTATTCATAGCCCTTCAAAAATCGTCAGTCGGCTGCGCCTCACCCTGTACACTTATAAAGTTAATTTAGTCAACTTGAAAACATTGATGATAAATGGATATTCCTTTTTGTTTTTTTTTTTTAATTTTAAACAATGTATATTAATTAGGATTTTAATTTTGGAGGGTAACGAAAGAAAAAAACTATTCATGTGATACCAAATATACCTAGGATAAATTTTTATGGAGTTGAGTATCTCAGAAATAGTTCAAATAAATTTTATAAATATATAAAATACCAAACCATTATTATAATTAATACAGAGAGATATGTGACTCAAAATCACAAGACGGATGCATTAGGTTTTAGATGTTTTTATTTTAATTTTAATAAAAAATGTGTTAAAGTTTAAATAAAATTACCTCAATTTTCTTATTTCCTCAACTTCCAAACCATTATTTAGCTCTTTTAAGGAATCATCAGGTGAAGCAGCTTTTTCATAAGCTTGCCACACATTCCAACGTATATCTCTATCAGGACAATATTCTATAAATCTTTCAGCTGTACCCCAAGTTAATGCTACTTTCCAAGGTCTTTTCTTAGGATTCTCTCTAGCAATTAAAAAATTCAATAAGTTAATTTTTCAATAATACTGATGATCAACAAACTTATTTAATGCCATTAAGGTAAGGAGATCTTCTGGAAAATCTTTTACTAATTGTGGGTTATCAATAATTTGTTGAAATTGACTCCAAGCCATCTAAATAAACAAAATTAATTTTATAGCAAAATTAACAATACATAATATTTCTTTAAATATATATTACTTCTAATCGAATTTTAAAATATTTTTGTTTAGTACTACACTTTTGCTTATTAGCTTTAAATGAATAAATTAATTTTTCTTCGAGATCAAGCCCATTTAATTTTCCTTCTTTTAAAAATTTATTAATTACTGTAACTTGTTCTTCTGTTAATTGTGTCAAATCTGCTTTCTAAAAATAAATTTAAAAAAATATACATTATAAGGCTAGTAAATAAATATAAAATGTATGTGTAAAAATACACACCAAATTAAACAATTAATTATAAATTATTAAAATTGTATATTTTTAAATGTTATGATAATGTACATAATTTTAGCAACTGAGTAAAAATTATATATGACAATCATATTTAATACAAATATCGGTTAACAATAAATTAGAATCATCCCAGAAACTACACAAGTCAATATTATAAATTTACATTTTATGATTTGTGTTGTTTATAAAATGATTGATTTAAATGAGAAAACTCAGTTCAATACATAAGTTTTTAATAAGAATATGTAAATATGAAAAAATATATTAATTTTACCATTTACCTTGCAAGCATCATAAATTACTTTACTATTATATTTTGTAGCATGAGACATACATGCTTTGTTGTGAATAGGATAATAAACTCTAGCAGGCATTACTGACATATCAACCAAGTACAATGTTTTTAAAACAGCCCACATTTTGTCTAGTTGATGACTAAGATTTTCAATAGGCTCTAACACATCTTTAAATATATCATACTTCCCATCTTCAACTATAAAAAAATACATGGTGTACTATCATTACTCAATATCATCAAAAAGACTCACCAGCACTTATATAATCTTCAATGTCTCTAATACCACATTCAAAATCTAAAAATTGATTGTTAATTGTATTTTCACATTTTTTTAAATCTAGACCAGTAAAATTAGGATGGTCACTATTCACTTGGATTAATCGTTCTGTTACATCTTTACTTATTTCTGGTAATCTAAAATCAATCAGACAAGATGAATTAATAACTGTTTTCATTTTAATAGTTAAAATTCATAAATTATGTTTATGCATAATTAATAATAAAACATGAATCATAAGAATATATAGTAGAGGTTTGGCAATAGAATTTTTATTTAACCACTTCAACTTACAACACAACATAACCATTTCTACTGGGAATTTTATTCAAAATGCATTTGTTATGCTTATGAACTACACTCTTACACAACTTGGTGCAACGAGATATAAAATACATACTTTATTAACACTAGAAAATAAAATTATAACTTGTTAATATTTTTTGTAAATAAAATGAAAAAGTTATGACAAAAAATTAATTATTTAATAGACATAAAGTTAATCTACAACAATTATTTAAATTTTATTATTCTCTGTAATTCAATTTGTACTTCGTTTTTAAAATTATTTTCATGCCTTATCAATTAGGAGGATACCATATTATTATATAATTTGAGGTTAAAAATTATTTATCTTAAATTGATTTATATGAATGAATGACTACAGCGAGTATTGATAACATTGCTAAGTTAAACCCACGAAGTGTATTTAAAGTAAATCTACATTTCATAATGAAACCTTATACTGAATTATTTTGAATAATAATATTTAAAATTAAAATGTAACAGCATTCAAGTTTTATAAAGTACTTTTTGTTTTACATCGGAAAATTCAAATATATAATGAGTGACAATTATCGTTGAATACAATTTTTAAAAATATTTTTGAGAATTTTTAAATCATGTCTGATCTCAATATATTTAATGCTTTTCTTCAAATATCTCACCAAAAACTAGTAAATATTTTGAAATCATTACCAGGTCCTAAAGATTTGGTGATTGAATATTCACTATTTAAACCTCTAGAAATGTTTATTGATATGAAGAGTCTTAGGTAAATTAATTACAATACTAAATGGTATGAGCTTTTTAATAATAATTAATATTATAGGCTACATGGAGTTGATAAAGTGTATAAACTACAAGATTCCATCAATCCAATAACAGACAGACAATGTGTTTTTTTTGTATCAGCAAAATTAATAAGTATTAAAATCATATGTGATCTAATTAATTCTCGTCTTAGCACATCATCAGTTGCTGAAAATATTTTAAAAGTAATTTTAGTTCCTAAGTCTTTAATTACAGTTCAAAAACAATTTGAAGAAGAAGGTGTATTTGGCTTCATAGAAATTTTTGAATTTCAATGGGACTTCATTCATTTGGGTGATTCATTTCTGTCATTAGAAATGAATGATTTCTATCAGCAAACATTTGTTGAAGAAAATCAATCAAATTTACTGGCAGTTTCAAAATCATTATGGGTTGCATTTATGGTTTTTGGATTTCCTCAAACAATATGCTTAAATGGAAAATATTCAACAGCAATTTATAAATTATTAAATAGATATTTTCAAGATAAAGGAAGACCTAAAAATAAAAGTAATTCATGTTTTTTAATGTTAGATAGAGATTTTGATTATGCAAGTATTTTGTTAACACCATGTACTTATGCTAGTCTTTTAGATCAAGTTATAGGTATATGCAATGGTATTATAGAGATTAAAAAAAGTGATAGTACCAAATCATTAAAAAATTTATGTAATCCTGATGAGATTTACACCCATGTAAAGTATAAACAATTTGGTGATGTTTTAAATTATTGGAAATCTAAATCAATAGAACTACAAGAAAAACTAGAGAAGAGTAAAAAATTGCAATTAGATGAAATGAAACAATATGTTGCACAAGAATTACAAAATGTTATACTTGCAAAAAAGAATTTGGCTTTTCATATTGATGCATCAGAAGTAATTTCACAAGCTATTGGTAATACATTCATTGATTACACAACACTGGAAAAAAATATGTTGGAAAATAAAAATAGGAAAGAAAACTTGAATTCCATTGAAGATTTCATGGCATTTGGAAAAGGTTCAGCAAATAATATTCTTCGACTTATATGCTTATTTTCTTTGACTCAAGATGGTTTCACATCTAATGAGTTAATTAGTATAAGAACAAAATTTTTACATCAATTTGGGTTTAAATATTTTGAAACATTTCATTTATTAGAAAAATTGAACCTTATCTTAATTCAAGATACTAGTTCAGTTTTGCAAAATAATATAAGTAAAATTATATCCATAAACAAAACAAAACAAGTTTTACAAAGTATGGGACAAAAATTAAGGCTTATTAGTAACAAAGAAAATTCTATGAGTACTGCATTTGGTGGATCTTATGTGTCAGCAATTGGTAGAATAATTGAAATTATTTGTAAAGAAGACGTACCTGATGAAATTATTAAATTGCTATCAAATTTTTCTTTTCAAATTATTAATTTTAATACTGGTATTAAAACTGTCTATGTTATGGTGGTTGGTGGTACAACTTATGCTGAACAAGCTGCATTTCATTTTTTAGAAAAAGCAATGAATATAAAAATTATTATATTATGTACTAATATAATTAATGGAAATAGTCTAATTAATTCATGTTTACAATAAATTAATATGGTTATTTCGACACAAAAAATATTTTTTTAATTTATAATATTTTTTATTCTTTATTGATTTGACTTCAAATATATTTACATATTAACTAGATTACACATTACTATTTACTAGATTACTTAAATTTTAATGATTCTGAACTTATAGCTAACACTGAACATTAAACAAAATTTTAAATTGAATTACTCAATTAATATTATTTGAGACATAATTCATCATAGTTGAAGTATAAAAAAAAATTGATGGTGTTTTGCTAATTATCTCTGCTTAATATTAGCTTCGATGCGAAGCTGAGAAGGTATTAATTTTACTATGATGTGTTTTTTTTTTTATTTTTTTTTTTGTGTCTGTGAACGCTCAATCTCAACTCTCGCTGGACCGATTTTGATGAACAATATGTCAAAAGATCACAAATCGTATCTAGTCGAAGACATTACTCTCAAAAATTGAAAAAAATTCCCTCGTTCCCCGTAAACGGGGGAAATCCCCCAAAAAATTACAAATTTAAAAATCGCTAATTTTCGATATTTTTTCAATTTTTTTTACTTAAAATTGCCATAACTTTTTTAAAAATGACCGAATCAATATAAATTTTTTTTTAAAAATAGATACCTTAGATAATTACCTATCATTTTATATATTTTTGTGAACATTTGACCCTTTAACAGCCCAAAGGATGGGGTTTCAAAATGGTAACTTTTTTACAAAAAATTAACTTTTTCAACTTAACTTTTGAAAATGTTCCGGAAAGACTGACAATTTTATATATACCTTAAATTAAAGCTAATGTAATATACTTTAATTTGAAAAAAAAAAATTTGACCTCTGGACTTGTCTTCATGGTGAAAATGACTACCGTATGCAAAAATATGCTATTTTTGTGAAAAAATTCTTGATATTATATTTTACATTTTTTAACATTATGTTGCTATAACTTTTTAAAAAATGCATGAATCAACTTTATTCTTTAATGATAAATACTTTATATATACTTCTTTCATTCGACATACTTTTTTTTAAAATCGGACCATTTCCCTTTATACAGGGGGGGTGCAAACCTTTTAAAATGCGTATAGAAAGTAGAACTTTTTCAACTTAACTTTTGAAAATGTTCCGGAAAGACTGACACTTTTATATATATCTTAAATTAAAGCTTATGTAATATACTTTAATTTGAAAAAAAAAAATTTGACCTCTGGACTTGTCTTCGTGGTGAAAACGGACATCAAAGTTAAAGAAAAACGTACGATTTCCGTGAAAAAAATCTCGATTTTATATGTTATATTATTTAATTTATATTTTATATAACTTTTGGAAAAATGTATGGATCAATATTATTATTTTTTTATAATAAATATTTATATACTCCTTTCATCTACACGCTTTTTTTGTAAATCGGATCATACCCCTTTAACAAGGGGGGTCAAAACTTTAATCATGCGTATTGTTACTATGATATTTTCAATTTAATTTTTGAAAGTATTCCGGAAATACTGACACTTTTATATATATCTTAAATTAAAGCTTATATAATATACTTTAATTTAAAAAAAAAAATGTGACCTCTGGATTTGTCTTCACGGTAAAAATGACTACCGTATTCAAAAATTTGCTATTTTTGTGTTAAAATTCTGGGTTTTGTATTTTATTTTATTTTAAAATACCTGACAAGGGGACTACAGATTTTCATAAATATTATATAAATAAAAAATTAATATAGCATAGAAAGTTAAACTTATTTAAATTTGTTTGCTTCTTTTAAGTCGAGAAAAATAACTTTGAAATTTGAACTAGCTTAAATAGCCTATTTTTTCACCCGACGGTAGCGACGTACGGTTGCCGAGTTGGTAAAATTTATGTTTTACACGCTTGGGGTACGAGGTTCCAACCCGCGTATGGCAATGAATTTTTTGCATTTTTTCTTAATTCTTTTTAAGTTAGTATACATTTTTAACTCGTTTGATTTTTATCACATTTAGATTCAATAACTTCAATAAAGATCAAGGATCCCATCACTTTAGTCGCCCCTTGCAAGAAGAAATTTCTTATTCGTATTAAAATTATTTTACTATATTTTAAGTTTTCGCTTCGATGCAAAGCTGAGAAGATATTTTTTTGTGACTATCATTTATTTTCTCTGCTCTAACTTGACCTACTTTTTTCAACAATACGTCAAATTACTACAATTCGTATTATTTATTGGTTATTTTAGTTAAAGTAAAACATTAAAATTAATTCAGTTCATATTTTAATTGTAGTATCTTCTTAAACACCAAAAGATACTACGAAATGATTACTATTATTTCTATTTAAGTTATCTATTACGATAAAAATGCAAAAAAATATTGAGTTACTCTGATAAATTTACTATAAATAGTAATTATAAAATTTCCTGACTGCATATTTTTAACATATTAAAAATCAAATCAGTAATAATTTGAAAACAATTTTTTTTTTTTTTTAATTATTATTTCATATGTAATTAGTATAATATAAAAATGTATAACTGATAGAAAAAGTCTAATTGCAGATTTGAAAACAACGCGAGAAGTTGATTTAGAAAAGTAAATTTTTGCTTCTGATGAAAGTTTCTTGTAGTCCAGTGTATTTATTCATAAGTAACAAATTTTTTATTTATTTTTTTCAACGATACGTCAAATGACTACAATTCGTATCTAGGTTGAAGATATTACCCTCAAAAATTGAAAAAAAATTTTAATTTATCAATTAAACAGTTAGTTATTCCATTTCCTCCATACAAACAATTAAAATCATTAATTTCTAATGTTTCAAAGTATTTATTGACGAATCAAGTTTGATATGATAGGTTTCAACTACAAAATTAAATCATTTTACTTTGTAATTTAATAATTTTTTTACTCTATTTGTGTGTGCTACTACTAGACTATCATATTACAATTTTTTTTTGTAACATGTTGCTATATAAATCATTTCTAAAAAAAATGATTGTTTTTTCTCCTGAATTAACAATTGATTTTTACAAATATAATCAAATTGTATTATACGCTCTATTTTTTATATGTAAATACTCATTTTTTACTAGTTAGTAATAATATCAAAAATTAGAAGTGATAGAAAAAGTCTAATTTTAGATTTGAAAACGGCGCGAAAAGTTGATTTAAAAAAGTATATTTTTGATACTGATGAATGTTTCTTGTAGTCCAGTATATTTATTCATAAGTGACAAAAAATTCATTAATTTGTTAAAATTAAATATTATCTACAAATTTTTTTATATGCAAATACTATTTTTTAATAATATTAAAACTTAGAAGTGATAGAAAAAGTCTAATTGCACATTTGAAAACATTGCGAAAAGTTGATTTTGAATAGTATATTTTTGTTTCTGATGAAAGTTCCTTGTAGTCCAGTGTATAAAACTTATAACTTTGTTAACTGTTATAACTTTAACAAAAATGACCAAATCAGTATAATTTTTTTTATTTAGATGCATGTCTTTTCTATCATTTGTTTTTTTTATAAATCTAACTCTTTACCTGCCCACAAGTGGGATTCAAAATTATAACTTTCTTTTTTTTTAGCTAAAGTAAATCATTAAAATTAATTCAGTTCTGGATATTTCAATTGTAGAATCTTTTTAAATACTAAAAATTACTTAGAAATGATTACTATGATTTCTATTTAGGTGTTCTATTACGATAAAAATACAAAAAAATAATGAGTTTTTCTGATAAATATACTGTAAATAGTAATTATAAAATTTCCTGACTGCATATTAGTCTTAAAAATAGCATAGTTTTAATTCTCATAAAATTTTCTATTTAATGATTCATTCTAGTCAACGAAGGATTAATTTTGGAGAATAGCAGAAAAAATTCTCAACCAATTTTTTTTTCTTTGTTTTAATTAGGCAATTGGTGGATTATTCTAAAAGCAACATCAACTCTTATTTCTTTAATTATATCCTGATTAGTAGTTCTTTGATTTTAAAATATAATATATGAATAAATACTAATTATAATTATTAAATTTAGTATGAAATTGATATTCAATAATTTAATATTGTAATTTAAACGGAGAAATTATAAAAATAATAAAGAAGTTGTATTTTGCTTTATTTTTACGTGTATAAAAATTTAAAGGGCTTAATACAATAATTTTCAATAAAAACTGTTTGTTACTATAAATGAATGCACTGTACTTCAAGGAACTTTCATCAGAAACAAAAATATACTTTTTTAAATCAAAGTTTCGCGTTGTTTTCAAATCTGCAATTAGACTTTATCTATCAGTTCTTTATTTTTTTTATATTATTACTAATTACATATAAAAATAATTAAAAGAAAAAAAGAATTGTTTTCAATTTATTACTGATTTGATTTTTAATATGTTAAAAATGATCAATCCAAATTTTCATTTTTAACCTATTTTTTTGGTTCTTTAAAATTTATGAACAATTTTTGATAAAGATTTATGAAAGTTTATAGCAAAAAAAATTGAATATATTACCATAACTTTTAGCTCAATTACAAATTTAAAATTGACATCTAGGCCAGTCAACAAAGGAAAAATTTCTTAAAAAATTCCCAACCAAATTTTGTTTTATTAATAGTTGAATTAAAATATGTATAATGACATACTAATAGTCTTCATTGATTGAAATTGAGCTTTTTTTTACAGCCTCGCAAAAGTTCAAAAATATGAGCTTTTTTAATTTTCTCAAAAAATATTTAACTTACAAAAAAAAGTTTCGTACAAAAGTTGTTTAAAAGACAATTATAAACAAAAAAATTATCTTATATTTTTTCATTTAAACAAACATTTTTCGAGTTACATTACATTTAATGTGAGTACTAAAATTTATATTCCATTTTTTTCATATTACGGTTGCTTTTTATAGATCATAGCTGGCCTCACAATTTCATACTGAATTTAAAAACTATAATTAGTTTTTATAATTAGTTAGTATTTATTCATATATTATATTTTAAAATCAAAGAACTGCTAATCAGGATATAATTAAAGAAATAAGAGTTGATGTTCCTTTTGGAATAATCCACCAATTTCTCTAAATGAAACACTATCTACAGATTTGCATCGAAGCGTTTCTTATGATAGTGATTTTAATCACTGTCAGATATCATCTATACTTATCTCATCTATGCCACGTCTATACTGTGCCTCGACCCCACTGTGCTACCGTTTTTTTAATATAGAAGTTCCCATAAATATTCTGTAATTTAAGAGAGCGCGAAACCTCTTAAAGTCTCTATCATTTTGTTCCTATGAAATTCATAAAACTCGAATAAATTATAGAGTATTTGTATCTCAATATTCATCTTTATTTAAATATGATAGTTCGGTTGTTATTTAATGAGTCTGTCAGATATTGACTGTTTCAATTCAATTAAATATTTTAAGAATTTAAATTAGTAATCACCGAGTATGTAGAAAAACCTTTTTTAGTAATATTTAGAGTACAAAAATTTTTTAAATAAAACATTTTCCTATTTTTAGTGTTTTCAACATTTTAAAATAGCCATTTTCTTTTTCTTATAAAATAGTTTGATAGGATAAGAAAAAGGCTATTTTAAAAATTTAAAAAAAATAAATGTTTGATGAAATAGGCATATAATAAATAATCATTTACATTGATAAAATGAATTTGTCAATGTAAATGGTTATTACGACCCATAAGTGATTTAGAAATATCGTCGAATATAGATTAGAAGTATTCAAACATTTTTTAATGCGCAAAAGTACATTAAGTAAAATCGAGAATTTTCACACAAAAATAGCATTCGGTAGCCATTTTCACTGTGAAGACCAAATAAAGTCTGAAATTTTTTGTAATATTAAAGTATATTACATAAGCTTTAATTTAAGATATATATAAAAGTGTCAGTATTTCCGGAATAATTTCAAAAGTTAAGTTGAAAAAGTACATTTTTTGTGAAAAAGTTGTCATTTTGAATCCCTCCTTGTAGGCTGGTAAAGGGTTAAATTTATAAAAAAAAATATACCAAATGGTAGATAAAGACATCAAACATCTATAAAAAAAAAAATTATATTGATTTGTTCATTTTTGAAAAAGTTATGGCAGTCTTAAGTAAAAAAAATTGAAAAAATTAAGAAAATTAGTGATTTTTAAATTTGTAATTTTTTTGGAGGTTTCCCCATTTACGGGGAACGAGGGAATTTTTTTCAATTTTTAAAGGTAATGTCTTCGACTAGATACGAATTGTAATCATTTGACATATCGTTGAAAGAAGTAGGTCAAGTGAGGGTTGACAAAATAAACTGTAGCCACAAAAAAAACCACATAGTAAAATAATATTTACATGAATAAGAAATTTCTTCTCACGAGGGGAGACTATAATGATGGGACCCTTGATATTTATTAAAGTTATTGAATCAAAATGAAGTAAAAATCAAATGATTTGAAAATTTTTTTCTAACTCAAAAAAAATGCAAAATATTAATTGCCACAGGCGGATGCGAACCTTGTACCCTTAGCGTGAAAGACATAAGTGTTACTCATTCGGCAACTTTTCGTCGCATGATAAAACTAGCAATTTAAGCTAACTCAAATTTAGAAATTACTTTTTCGACTTAAAAAGCAAAAAAATTTAAATAAATTTACTTTCATATGTCTTTTGAAATTTATTATATGTCAATTAAATTATATAATATTCATGAAAGTCAGTGTATTATGAGATATTTTAAAATAAAATACAAAATCCAGGATTTTTTGAAAAAGTTATGGAAGTTTAAAAAAAAAAAAAAAGTGACAAAATGACAACATTTACCGATTTTTAAATTTGTAACTTTTTTGGAGCTTTCCCACATTTGCGGGGAACGAGAGAAAATTTTTCAATTTTTAAGGGTATATGTCTTCAACAAGGTACGATTTGTGATTTTTTGACTTATTATTGAAAAAAATTGGTTCAGTGGCAACAGACATAAAATAAAAAAAAACATATTGTTAAACCAATACCTTCTCAGCTTCGTATCGAGTCATATCTTAAGTTCGTATCAAATTATATTTTTGTCGCGTTTTATTGCTTCCTGAAAAATTTCGAAGTAACCATCATATATCAGGATTTTAAGATTTTTAGGTGTTATATTTTCTTTATATATTCTAATACGAATGGCTTAGGATGGATTACTGCTTCAATAACATAAAATTGACCCCCATAAAGTTATAAAGGGTGACAAAATTTGAAATGCCTATAGGCAGAAATTATGTGAATACCCATTTGTATACTAGTAATCAACAATCTTATATAACAGTATCTTAAAAAGTTATGTTACAAAATTAATTGTGAGTAAATGTTTTATTACGCATGATGTTAAATAACATATATGTATTAAAAAAGTGCATCCATAAATAAATAACAATTTCAAAAGTGTTTTGAGTGTGTTTTAAAAGAATTATTAATATATAAATTGAGAATTCTAAATTTAAATCGTACAAATAATAATAATGATATGGACAATTTTTCACAAATATTAATTTAATTATAATTAAACATTAATTTTAACAGCATAATCATAAAAACCAAGTAAGAATCTATTGAACGTTTAGTTTTCTTTTTTTTCAAGGCTGACATTTATTTTGGAAGAAGATTCCGCAAGTTTTTTGACATATGACTGGAGTTCGTATTTAATTACATTTTTGTTGCGTTTTTTATCTTCCTGAATAAATTCGAAGTAACCATCATGTTTCATGATTTCAAGATTTCTAGGTGTTATATTTTCTTTGTATTTTCCCAATACGTGTGGCTTCGGATGTATTAATGCTACAATAACGTAAGATGGTAAATCAATTTTTTTACCATCAATTACAGTTTCCTTTGATTTTGCCACACCAATTCCTATGTTAATGGAACTTTTCCAAATTATACTAGTAGAATGTCGATGGCGCAAAGAATATTCCTCATCTACATAAAATCATACAGCTTAGAAAATAAATAATAATGAGTTAATTAATGTAAAATTATTTATCCCACAATTCAATACTCATAAACGAGGGTTTGTCATCAAAATATGACGTTAGGTAAACCGTACTAAACTAAATCTACACTTTTGACCAAATTTAGGTTTTGCATTAAAATAACGTATAATCTCCTTTCGATTATTCTTATTAATAAACGCGGCAACCACAAAATTATAGTTTTTTCTCCTATTCTGAAATAAATGATATTATATTATAGGTTTTTATCATTAAATAACCCGTAACTGCTAAAAAATTTTGTGAAGAAACGTATATGCATTATTATTTAAAAAATTGGTAAAACAATAAAAACATTTTATTTAAGAATTTATTTTATAGTAATTAAAACAAAGGGAATATAAAATATAATACCCACACTTTTTTTTATCTAAAGTTCGATTTTTTTTTAATAAAGTATATTACTTAAGTTTTTATTTTAGATATATAAAAAAGTGACAGTATTTCCGGAACACTTTCAAAAAATAAGTTGTAAAAGTTAATTTTTTGTGAAAAATTTGTTATTTTAAATTCCTCCCTGAGGGCGGGTGATGGATCAGATTAAAAAACCCAGCACAATGGTGTCGCGGTATAGTGGAGACGTGACATAGTTGGTTTCAGTATAGATGATTATAGATGAGTATAGATAATTTTTCTGTATTTCATCAAATTGTCAATTTGTACATTTTACGATAAAAATGATTTTATTAAAATTATTTGTATTATTTTATACATGCTATGGAACATCTGGTGATCTTAAACAGGAGTAAGTATTAATTCGTATTTTTCTATTTTAATATGTAAAAAAAATCGATTCAAATGGAATTCAATTTCATGATAATATCATGAAATTTATACTTGGCAAATTCTTTTTGCTACAATTTTTATCAGTAATATTGAAGATAATTATTTCTCTATTTAATAAACAAATTAAAAAACCCAGCACAGTGGTGTCGCGATACAGTGAAGACGTGACATAATTGGATTCAGTATAGATGATATCTGACATTGATTAAAATGACTATCATAAAAAACATTTCGATGAAAATCAGTAGATAATGTTTAATTTTAAAAAATGAATGGCTTATTCCAAAAGCGACATGATCTCTTAATTCCTTATTTATATTTTGATTACAAATTTTATGTTTTATAAGTGTAATATATGAATTTATATATATATATATATATATATATATTNTATATTTTGATTACAAATTTTATGTTTTATAAGTGTAATATATATATATATATATTAGGGTGTCCCAGAATTTTGAAGTTTCGGAAATGCTTAGTGCATACCCCTCAAATTTATTTGTATACATATAAAAAAGAAAACAAAAAATTTCAGGTCGATCAAACAAGTTTAACCCGTGCTGACTTGAGGTTGAAAATTAGTTAAAAGGGGTAGTTTTTCAGTTATTTGCCATTGACTTGTAAATTAGTGCTCTCACAATAAAATATATAGAAAATAAATTGTAGATATAAATGATTTGTATAACTTAAATTTCTATAATTTTTCTTCTAAACTCACTAGTTTTCTAGAAAAATTGAAAAATAAGTATTATTTTGCAAAACTGTCGAAATTGAGATATTTACGAATATTGCATTATATCTGATGAACCGTTTATAATAAGTAGTAATATTTCATATAAAAATTGTTCAAATTTTAATTTTCTAAAAAAAATGTAATGAGTAAAATTTTCATTGGGGCGATCGTTTTATTGTTTTAACATGATTAATATTTATTTTTACAAAATATATGAGTATTATTGGTTAAATTTTTTGTAGTCAAATTCTGTTTATGCTAATACACAACAAATTTAAAAAATACCAACTGGAAATGATAATTTTATCATGTTTATTTTAATATTAAAAAAATTATAATTACAATGCTGGGGTACTTATAAAAAATTATTATTGGGGATATTTTCTTTTGAGAGTTTTTTTGTTCGAATTTGGGTATAAATTTTTATGTTCTTGCATACAATGCAACAAAAATTGTTTTTGCTCCTCTTCGACTGTAATCAAACCATGAAAATCTTGCATCACTTTAACAGCCCTTTCAGCAGTATCATTTACAGTTTTCAGGGTTGATACAGTTTTATGGGCTGCTATATATGAGGCATTTGTCACCCATGATAATGGACATTCGTTCAGAAAAATATCATCAATTTTTAAACGGGTAAATAAGCACTTACTTTTGGCTGACACAAAATCACAGATATTTTTGTCTAAAATAAAATTATTTACATTTATCATTAAATAATAAATCATATTAAAATATACACGTTTATCTTTCATACTAACCATATTTCAAACCGCCAAGTTCTTCCTTTGTCGGTATGTATCGACAATAAATGTATATTCACTTTTTTTTGTTAAATTTTTTACCATAAATCTTTTCATATCTGGTTCAACATCATCGTCAAATAGTGCTAAGATTACAATTTCATCAGTTAAGTACAACAAATGCTGACTAAATTTCTGCAGTACCACTTTCGAAATACTTATGTCAATGGTTTCATAAACTTTTAATGACTTTAAAAAACACAAGTCTTGATGAGGTGATTATACTGCAAGAACGCATTTAAGTCAAGGCTTCACGTAAGTAGTAACAATTAATAAGCAAACATCTAGCAACACGGCTTTATCCTAGCTAGTAATATTTAGTTGAGAACTAAGTAGTGATATTTTCAAAGAATATATAGCTCTTGCCATCCATCTCGCTTGGTGCATTACTCCTGGAGGCCTAATTTTAAACTTTTTTTCTGAATCTCCTCCTAAAAATATTATTGAAAGTTCTATCAGCTCTCGATAGTCATCTCTGACAATTTTTTTTGTTAATTCAGCATGGTACAATTCAAGTAAAGCTTCAATATTTGTTGTGCTTATATAAGTTTCTACGAATTCTCTATAAAATTTTATCTCGGTGGGGTTGACATTTTTCCAATTTTCTTTAAATTTTTTGAATAGTGGAAAATCGGGACTATTAGTCACGTGACTGATTTTTAATTCAAAAACGCTTTTTAGTGGGTCCATTTCTCCAGCCCCCCCCTTTTTTAATTTCATAGTTTTTAATATCTCATTCGTTTGTGCAGAAATGTGCACAAGGTCCCGTCGTTTGTGCACACTTACTTTCCGAGATATCGTAAAAACACATTTGGGGGGCCGCAGAAACGGCAGCCCCCCCTTTTTTTAATTTCGTAGTTTTTAATATCTCATTCGTTTGTGCACCGTTTGTGCAGAAATGTGCACAAGGTCCCATCGTTTGTGCACACTTACTTTCCGAGATATCGTAAAAAATAGTAGTATTACGTTTGAATAATTTAGTAAATGTTATTTGCTACTGTCATACGAAAATTCAAATAAATAATTAAAAATATATTTCATTTTTTTTTTTAATTTGATTAAAACTTTTTCGTAGTTAGTGTACTTAAAATGTAACTGATTAAAAATAGGTAATAATATATTTAATAAATTTATTTGTTTCTTTTTTTTTAATAATTATAAAATATTTATTCATTATTAAAAATTAAAAAAAATTAATAATTATCAAATTTTGAACTGACATAATCTTTTAATATAATATTAAGGATTGTCATTCATTTTTTAAGGGTGATTATTTAGTATTCCGTATTTAGTATTTAGTTATCCAAGACGTCTGAACCGATAATGTACATGCATAATATAGAAAATAGTTTTTTTAGCTTCGATGCGAAGCTGATAAGGTATTGGTTTAATATGATGTGTTTTTTTTTTGTGTCTGTTACCACTTTTTCTCAGCTCTCACCGAACGGATTTCTTTCAACGATACATCAAAAGATCACAAATCGTATCTAGTCGAAGTCATTACCCTCAAAAATTGAAAAAATTTCCCTCGTTCTCCGTAAAGGAGGAAATCTCCAAAAAAAAATTGCAAAATTATAAAACACTAATTTTTGACATTTTTAAAAGTTTTTTTACTTAAAACTATTTTCTATATCTGTTATAGAGTACATTGCTTAAGAAACTTACCTTTTCTTCAAATAACTGAATTACAAAAAAAATATTCAAAAGTCAGTTGCGAAAAAACGACAAATTATAAAATAATATTATAATACAATGAACTCTCAGAATAGTTCATACTAAGTGCAGAGCCGTACTGAGGATTTTTGGGATCTACGGCAAATTCACTCAGGGACCTTTCTATTAGCATATTATACTTTTATAATATTAGAGTATTTAATTTTCAAGACCTCAGCCATTTAAGGTCATTATGCATGTACATTATTGGTTCAGACGTCTTGGATAACTAAATACTAAATACGGAATACTAAATAATCACCCTTAAAAAATGAATGACAATCCTTAATATTATATTAAAAGATTATGTCAGTTCAAAATTTGATAATTATTAATTTTTTAAAATTTTTAATAATGAATAAATATTTTATAATTATTAAAAAAAAAGAAACAAATAAATTTATTAAATATATTATTACCTATTTTTAATCAGTTACATTTTAAGTACACTAACTACGAAAAAGTTTTAATCAAATTAAAAAAAAAAATGAAATATATTTTTAATTATTTATTTGAATTTTCGTATGACAGTAGCAAATAACATTTACTAAATTATTCAAACGTAATACTACTATTTTTTACGATATCTCGGAAAGTAAGTGTGCACAAACGATGGGACCTTGTGCACATTTCTGCACAAACGGTGCACAAACGAATGAGATATTAAAAACTACGAAATTAAAAAAAGGGGGGGCTGCCGTTTCTGCGGCCCCCCAAATGTGTTTTTACGATATCTCGGAAAGTAAGTGTGCACAAACGACGGGACCTTGTGCACATTTCTGCACAAACGAATGAGATATTAAAAACTATGAAATTAAAAAAGGGGGGGGCTGGAGAAATGGACCCCTTTTTAGTACCATCTCATAAATACGATATATATAAATATAATAAATACTAATAAATCATCGTATGATGGTGACAAACAAAAATAAGCAACTCTCTATTAAGTCTTTGCTCTAATAAGTAACATGCGCCATTAATGCGTCCTGTATTGAAAGCTGTTGTATCACAGCATAAAATTAGCACTTTATCTTCAAGATTCCAATTAGTGATAGCATTCCAAATAGCTCGTGCATGTTCTTTACCAGTGGAGTTTTCTAATTTTGGCACAGAAATCAGTTGTTCTTTATTTCTGAATGAAATAACAATACGCAGTCGTTCTTCTTTTTTATTACGATTTTCTAGTGCAGGCAACAGTTTTTCGTCCCAGTGTACCGTAACAATGTCTGGTACTTCATTCTGAAAATCCACTTTTATGGCATTTGCTCACCCCTTGCGTTTTTCTGTACGGATTCGTTGTACAGACGACTTACTACAGGCTTTGTCTGTATTATACCCTAGTGCTTCAAGGGTAGCTTGAAGGATAATTACAGAGTCTCTTGTGCTTAATTGACATCTATCAAGCGCAGCTACTAATTTTGGAGTAATAAATTCATTTTTTGCTACAATTGTAATAGTTTCATTTTTAGAAGGTGTGTTGTCCGATACAATCGGTAAATTTCTTTGTAAATTTATCACTTCACCAGAACTGCAAGATGATTCATCCTGCATATGTACATTTAATTCTGAAGAAGTTTACGGAGTTAAATACTTTATTTTCCTATTTTCTTCTGTAATAGACTTAAGTCGTGCTCTTTCCTCCTTATCTGCTAACTTTTTATCCACTCCAGCCAAGTGTCCAGGTCATCCAGGCTCTCTTTGCCGTTGCAGGAATATCTTGTCATCCTCAATTTTAATTAATTTATTGGCATCCGCATGAGCAATATCAAATAAATTATCTAAATTTTTTATGAATGCTTGCTCACGTTGTTGAAATCAATCGTTTGCTTTATTTGCATTCTTCTGCAGATCTCTCCAAATGTGATACAAGTTAACAAGTTTTTTTACACAGTATGGTATTGATTTTGTTGGTATTCGCGCCTTTGCCCAAAATATAATACACTCAGGAAGAACGAGATTCACACTTTCACTCACGGTTAATTTTACTTCAGGCATATTATAAAATAAAACAGCCAGTACTTGGCCATTAGAAGGAAGTTTTGAACCCGTAATTTGATGTTTTATGTTACCTATTAAAAATATTTCTTTTTTGGAACTCTTCAATACTAGTGGCATATTTATTGATAAATAAAACTTTCACTAAATATAATAATTAAATTTGATATTTTATACTTCAAAATAACATAAAAATTAAAACTGGCACAACGTTAAATTAAAAATATAAAATAGGCTGCACGGAGGTAAACAAAATCAATGTAATAACGCAGGCGACTAAATTAGTATAATAAATAATTCATTATCATAAGTCGTAATCTTTTCATGATTTGTGGAAATATTTAATAATAGCAAAATAATTTTACTCCATATGTAGATAATACAATATTATTATCACTGTACTTCATAAGAAATTTTGTAATAACATACCAGATGATAGACGAAATTAACCAATAATACTCATATATTTTGTAAAAATAAATATTAATCATGTTAAAAGTTGAAAAAATTGTCATCTTGAATCCCTCTCTATGGGCAGATAAAGGGTCAGATTTATTAATATATACAAAATGATAGGTAATTACCTCATGTATATATATAAAAAAAAATTATATCAATTTTGTCATTTTTAAAAAATTATGGCAATATTAAGAAGAAAAAAATTTTAAAAATGTCGAAAATTAGCGATTTTTAAATTCGTAATATTTTTTGAGACTTTTCCCATTTACGGGAAACGAGGGAAATTTTTTCAATTTTTAATGGTAATGTCTTCGACTAAATCGTGTGATGTATTGTTGAAAGAAATCGGTTTAGTGAGAGCCGAGAAAGAGTGGTAACAGACACACGAAAAAAAACACATCAAAGTAAAATTAATACCCTTTTAGCTTCGCATCGAAGCTAAAAAACGTCTATATAAACAAATTATATAAGTATAATGAATTGCATGGGTATGTGCATGTGTGGTGTGTGACAGCTAATTGACCGACAGTACAAATAACCACACTACTAGTGTAGTGGAAACAAGTACGTATTCTCTGTTAAAAACTGTTATGTTGTTACCAGAATATTATAAAATGTATAATAAAATATTTTCAAAAGTTTCCTAAAATTCTTATACAGGATAATTATAATTTATTATTATTACTTACTTTTAATCATTTCATCCTCATTTGCTTCAAAATCAAAAGGTTTATCTTCATTATCAGCATATCCATATATTCGATAAGGTAATTTTTTCCCTAAGTCATTAGAATATAGAGTATTATGAGATGAGAATAATAGTCCGAAAACTGAATTGAATGGACCAGGTCGTTCTATCCTGGCTTCATAATTTGCACATGACTGTGCAAAAACATCCAACTAAAGATCATAAATTTGTATTAATAACGTTAATATACTAGTAATATAAATGATAGTTTTTAAATATAATCTTGTAGGTCTTTTAATTAAGTGTTCAAAAATATATGTAGTATAATAAGATATATGACCATTAGTTAGGGAGCTATTAACATTTTTATACCTAGGCAATAGAGACAACAGGTGAAGCGCGGGTTTTGTTAAGTAACTGTTGAAATTACTTTAAATTGTTAATAATTTCAGAAAACTGGTCCAATAATTGTTATCAGCCAATAATTCTATTGATTCTATTTTAACATTTTCTATTTTATAAGTTCATTAAATATTTAAGCTGTCATTTGAATTATTAAAATTAAAACCCTATTATGTATAAAGCAAAGGCGTCATTTCAAAATTTACTAGAGTGAGGAATTTTTTTAACCGGCCCACCATTTTACAAAGCCGCTCGTTTTGTTCGGTTCATTTACTAATAACTCAACTCTATTACACTTAATATAAAAATTATCATGACAGATATTTTTCTAAAATCATTCAGACGATAATAATATAATAATTCTAAATGGAATAAAATGTTAATAAAAACAATTCAAATAGTTATTCGATAGTTAAAAATAATCAAAAATGTCCATTACTAGTAAAAACCTGGGATGTATCTGATTTCGGTGACAAAGAGAGTTTTTTGAAAGGAAGCTTATTTTATATTTTAAATAACTAAATAGGCAATTTTAAGTATCATAGTCATTGAATAAAAATTCATTTTCACTACAATTCTTAGATAAATTGGATTTTATTGAAGAACGAGTTCACTTAAGGTATGGTCCGATCAGCATGAGTGCAATTGATTGACCTCAGTTTTCAAATGATCGTGTTGCTACCCTCAAATGTTGTCTTTGGTATATGGTATGAACAAAGAAATAACCGACTAATGGGAATGTAATTGCCTTTGTATAAAAAGCATCACGTATTTTTGTAAGCTCTGCAAAGACTTATGCCCCTCTAAATTGTAGGGTTATATGATAAATGAACTTGATATAAAGATCCTCCACAAATTTTATGCATAGATATTTTGCTATCAATAACAATAACTGTTCGATTGACACTAAATTAAAATAAGATACTATGATAAGTTTTCAAAAGCTAATAACATCTTACTTATTACTATTTATTTAAAAATTTACTTCATTATTTTGTTTTAGAGGTTCTACACCATGCCAATTTCTAATATTATTTATTGAAGATAAATATTGTCTTTTTATTTTAGAATGCATGTCCATATCATCTCCCATTCCTTCATAGTAACCAATAAACTGTGAGTGATCATGTTTTAAATGTTTATCAAATTCGGCCCATGCTGTATCTAAGCTGTAAAAAAATGTATTTTTAAGACTTGACAACAATATTTTAGCTTCAAGCAAAGCTGAGAAGATATTAATATTACTATGATGTGGTTATTATTTTTTTTTTTTTTTGATGTCTGTTACAACTTTTTTTCAACGATACGTCAAAAGATCACAACTCGTATGTAGTTGAAAATTTTTTAATTTGATTTCAAGCCTGATTACCACATTTATAAGTGTAGAAAGCGAGTGTTTACTTATGAAAAAATTTTTTATCAAGTTATTATTAATTTTCAATGTGTTCAAAATAATCCGTTCAAAATTTCCTAATTAACTTATTTTTTTGATCCTTGAATATTAATTTTTATGAAAGTTTATAATTTAAAAATTTTAAACTTTTAAACATTATTTTAGCTCGATTTGTAAGTATAGAATTTATATCATTAAATAGTAAATTTTATGAGGAATACAAAATTTTATTTTGTAGACTAATATGTGATCAGGAACTTTTATAATTACAATTAACAGAAGATATGTAAGAAAAACTTAAAATTTCGTTAAAATCACTATTCTTTTTGTATTTTTATTGTAATAAATCATTTAAATTTAATTTAAAGTCTTATTAATTATTTCTATGTAACTCTTGTTGTTTAAATAGATGCTATGATTAAAATGCAGAATTATATTCCGTTTAGTTATATCAAAAGTATTTTGATGTTAAAAAATATCTCGTGCCTAGTTTCACCTATGATTTCGTACGCTATTGAAGTGTTGAAATTCATTTACCTTTGTTTGTTTGATTTTTTTAGCTTCATATTATGTCAATTGCCACCGGAATTTCTGGTAAACTTTTTCTTTTTCTTTGCCTTAATCCCAACTACTTGGGGTCGGCCACCCTTATCCTAAGCTTCCACTTGACACGATCTCCCATATCTTCTACGCTCACATTAGCTGTCCTCATGTCGCATTCAATAACATTCCTCAATCTCTTTTTTGGTCTTCCTCTATCTCTTCTTCCTTCAACATTCATTTCTATAACTGTTCTTACAGCTTCCTATTCTTCTCTCCTCATAGCATGACTAAACAATCTAAGTCTATTTTCTGTCATCTTATCCACGATTGACGCAACACCTTTACTTCCTCTTATATGCTCGTTCCTTATCCTATCTTCTCCAGTCACTCCACTCATCCAACAAAGCATTCTCATCTCTGCTACACTTATTCTCTGCTCTACTTTCTTATCAACCGCCCAACACTATGAACCATACATCATAGCTGGCCTCACAATTTCATACTAAATTTAAAAACTATAATTAGTATTTATTCATATATTATATTTTAAAATCAAAGAACTACTAATCAGGATATAATTAAAGAAATAAGAGTTGATGTTGCTTTTGGAATAATCCACCAATTTCTCTAAATGAAACACTATCTACAGATTTGCATCGAAGCGTTTCTTATGATAGTGATTTTAATCACTGTCAGATATCATCTATACTTGTCCCATCTATGCCTCGTCCACACTATACCGCGACACCATTGTGTTGGGTTTTTTAATCTGATCCATCACCCGCCCTCAGGGAGGAATTTAAAATAACAAATTTTTCACAAAAAATTATCTTTTACAACTTATTTTTTGAAAGTGTTCCGGAAATACTGTCACTTTTTTATATATCTAAAATAAAAGCTTAAGTAATATACTTTATTAAAAAAAAATCGAACTTTAGATAAAAAAAAGTTTGGGTATTATATTTTATATTCCCTTTGTTTTAATTACTATAAAATAAAATATTAAATTAAATTTTTTTAAAAAATTAATTTTGTGGTTGTAGTATTAACGATTAAATGAAAATAAATGATATTTTTTCATCTTAGTTACATTAAAAGCAAATTCTTAAATAAAATGTTTTTATTGTTTTATCAATTTTTTAAATAATAATGCATATACGTTATATTTACGAAATTTTTTAGCAGTTACCGGTTATTTAATGATAAAGATCATGTAGCTTTTGGAATAAGCCATTCATTTTTTAAAATTAAACATTATCTATTGATTTTCATCGAAGTGTTTTTTTATGATAGTGATTTTAATCACTGTCAGATATCATCTATACTGAATCCAATTATGTCACGTCTCCACTGTATCGCGACACCACTGTGCTGGGTTTTTTAATTTGTTTATTAAATAGAGAAATAATTATCTTCAATATTACTGATAAAAATTGTAGCAAAAAGAATTTGCCAAGTATAAATTTCATGATATTATCATGAAATTGAATTCCATTTGAATCGATTTTTTTTACATATTAAAATAGAAAAATACGAATTAATACTTACTCCTGTTTAAGATCACCAGATGTTCCATAGCATGTATAAAATAATACAAATAATTTTAATAAAATCATTTTTATCGTAAAATGTACAAATTGACAATTTGATGAAATACAGAAAAATTTTAGTGAAAAAGTTTAATATTATTTTTAAAATATTTATGTCTTAGGTTATTTGATAATTTATACATTTATTGCAGTTCATTATAGTATTGTTATTCATTATTTTATATTTATAGCATAGTTAAACAGAGAAGCGAAAAATTTACTATCGTCATAACCAATATTTGTACAAAAACACATTGTAATCTGAAAATAACTTAGTAATATTGAGTTCTTAAGTAATTATAATATAATTTTCGGCCATAGAATACGTGTTGATTAATGTGGTCGATACAAATTAATTTTATTACAGAGATTATATATTTTTCATGTTTATAATAATGAATTATGCAAAATTTGAGATCGTATGATCATATTAACATGTGCCTACGGCATCTGAATCTTCTTAAAACAGTTATCTAAAAAAAATATTAACTTTTTTCTGAATTACTATTTAATGCTAAAGGACCTGGTCATCCTGATCAGTCGATTCCAGTGATTTGTGTCATCAGTCTCAGTACACCGTTGTCACTGTCCGGCTTACAGCATAAAGTCAAGTCTTTATTTTTCCTTTTCATCTACCTACTTTCGTCGTCGACACTTCAGAGTACCTGTGTCTTGCACTTCATCTGCACCTCATACCAAAGTGTTACCATTATTCCCTTCCTATAACAACGGCTTTTCAACACCCTCAGCTAATTCGGAATGTCAGTCGAGCTCGGTAATTACTGTATGATCAGGCAGCAGACTCATAATCATCTTCGTACACTACTCTACACCTTCCTTGCGTGTTTTGTTTTGTGTTACGACACTATATTAATAAAAAATATGAGAAAATTTTAGAAAAATTAACTTTATTACCTTTAATATATTTTTAGCACGGTATTGAATGTGTAATGTACAATTAAACTAAAACTATTGTAGGACAGGCTGAATATTAAAATTAATAATGAACGCTCAATATTTTTAAATAAATAATTTTACTTTTCTTCTTTCTTCTTTTACTGGCATTCCTACTCTCTAAGAGTTTTTGCCGCCATTACTACGCTTCGCCACCTATCTCTATCTTGGACTGTCTCTCTCCAGTCTTCAACTCCAAGGATTCTTAAATCTTCTTCTACCACGTCGATCCATCTTTTCTTCGGCCTCCCTCTAGGTCTTTTCCCTTGTGGTTTCCATTCCAATGCTACCCTGGCTATCTCGTTCTCTCTTCTTCTCGCTATGTGTCCTAACCATTGTATTCTTTGGCCCTTAATATAACTTGTTACCGGTGCTATTTCCAACATGTCATATAGTTCTCTGTTGTACCTTCTCCGCCAACTTCCCGTTGTTTCATCGATGACCGGTCCGCATATTTTTCTCCATACTCTGTGCTCAAAAGTCCTCAGGTTTCTTTCTGTTTGTTTGATCGTTGTCCACGCTTCGCAACCATACGTGAGAGTCGGTCTTATAATAGCCGTGTACAATCTTGCTTTCGTTTTTCTAGATAGAATTTTGGATGTAAAGAATTTAATCATTGTGTAGAACGTTTTTTGAGCTTTATTTATCCGAATACTTATTTCCTTTGACCAATCATTCTTTGTACTTAACGTTGCTCCCAGATATTTAAAATTGCTAACTTTTTCGTATGATAAATTCTCTATCTCACTGGGGTCCTCCCCACTATCTAATAGTTCCATTATCTTCGTTTTCTCAATATTTATTTCAAGACCAATTTTCTTCGCTGCTTTTTCTAGCACTCTAGCAGAGTTTAAGAGCGATATCCCTCTATAATTGTCACACTTTGTCTTGTCTCCCTTTTTATGCAATGGTATGATGATTGCCTCATTCCAGCTATCCGGTACTCGTTCTTCCATCCATATTAGGTGACACAGTATGTGGATTACTAAATGTAGCTCCTCACCTCCGTATTTTAAGATTTCTACTGGAATATTATCGGTACCCGGTGCTTTCCAATTTTTCAGGCCAAATAATACACTTTTTACTTCTTCTAGGCTAACATCCTCGACATAGGGCTCCGCTCTTTCATAATCGATATGAGCTACAGGCTAATCTGGCATTCTCCCATTAGTAAATTTTCAAAATAACCTTTCCATCTCTCAGCTCTTGATTCTGGTTCCATTAGCATTTGTCCTTCTTGGTCTCCGATTGCATTCCATATAGGGTTAAAATGCTTATACTGTTTAATGACTCTAAAAAAGTTTCTAGTTCTCCCTTGTGTATGGTCGTTCTCTGCTGTTTGAAGTATGTTGCTAAAAAATTTCCTTTTTTCCCTTTGAAGGGTGCTTTTGCAGGCTTTACGTTCCCGTATGAAACTTTCTTTAGTCATTTGAGTGTTTTTTTAATAAATTCATTTCTCGATTTTCGGCGTCTGTCTACAGCAACTCTACAAATATCATTATACCAAGTATTTCTTGACCTTTTTAGCTCACCAATACTAGTGGCCGCTGTTTTGTTAACAGCGTTTCTCACTATTTCCCAATCCAGATCTATGTTCATTTGTGCATTATTCTCTTTAAGGTTCTTCGTGACTTCGTTCTCATAATTCTTCCTTGCGATTTCATCTTTGAGTAACTCTAGATTAATTTTAATCCTTTTTTCTTGCTTTAATTTCAATTGGCTTTTTAACTTTGATCTAAGTTTTGCAATCACTAAGTAGTGATCCGTGTCACAATCGACGCCTCTCTGGCTTCTTACATCGTAAATGGTACTACGGTATCTAGTCTGTATGAGGACGTGGTCAATTTGGTTCAAAGTTTCGCCATTCGGTGATCTCCACGTGACTTTGTAAAATATTTTTGTGTGGGAACGTAGTACTACTAACAGTCAACCCATTTGATGTTGCAAACGCTATCAATCGCTGACCATTGTCATTGCTGTTACTATGCAAACTCTCTTTCCCTATGCAAGGGAAGTATTGTGGTTCCCGTCCACATTTTGCATTGAAGTCACCTATTACAATCTTTATCACGTTCCCAGTATGCCCTCATATGTATCAGTTAGTTCGTCGTAGAAGGCATCTTTCACATTATCATCTTTTACTTCCGTAGGTGCATGTACATTTACTATAAAAATATTAATTGGGATAGTGTTGATGGTTAATATTGATATCCTTTCAGATACTGGATTAAACTCTTTAATGTATGGAAAGAAAATTGTGTACTCTCCAATTGTTAGTTGTCCTACTCCCGACCATCTTATTTCTTGTATGGTTGCTAATTTAATTTTGTATTTGTTAAGAACTTCAGCTAAATTTTGGCTAGCACCTGTTTTATACAAACTTGTCACACTCCATGTCGCAATTTTAAAATCAGCATTCCGTTTCCAAAAACCAGTCTTGAATCCATGTAGTCTTGTCCGAGGCTTAGGTGTAGTTGGTTTCATAACTAAGTTTTTTTTACTAGGCAGGGTTGTTAGCCCTGCGCTTAACCCCCAATCTGGAGGACCAAACTTAACCAATCAGTTAAGTTTAGTTCAGAGCTCGGGACCCCGGGTACGCCAAAACCGTAGCACAAATAAGTTCATCCCCTGATTTTACTTTTAATTTTTTTAAATATTTTAATATCTACACAATAACCAATAAAGTTTGATATACATAAGTATTTAAAACATATATATATATATATATATATATATTTGGATTAGCATCAATTAGGTGGTGTGCTCTAGCCACAATTTCAGCAACTACTCGCAGTTCACCTCACATGGTTGGACTGCACTAATCCTTCGTTCTTTTCCCTGCACATGTAATATTAGGTTAAGTAAAATTTTTGTAAAAAATATTGTGTATGCTTTTTTGGGTGTGATTCAAAATAAGTTGGTCTTTTTTTCTTACTGTAATTAAGTTAAATTATTTAAATATTTATTGTTATGGCAAACAGGCGAGATTATTAGCTTCGATGGGAAGCTGAGAAGGTATTGGTTTTACTATGATGTGTTTTTTTCTTGTATCTGTTACCACTTTTTCCCAGCTCTCACCGAACGGATCTCTTTCAACGACACGTCAAAAGATCACAAATCGTATCTAGTCAAAGACATTACCCTCAAAAATTAAAAATTTCCCTCATTCACGATAAATAGGGAAACCTCCAAAAATATTACAAATTTAAAAATCGCTAATTTTCGAAATTTTATCAATTTTTTTTACTAAAAACTGCCGTAACTTTTTCAAAAATGAATATATCAATATAATTTTTTTTTTAAAGATGCTTGATGTCTTTATTAAGATAATGTATGTCAAATGAAAAAGAGATTATTAAGAAATATTATTTCTCATATAAAAATTGCAGTGATCCATACATTTTTTAAAAAGTCATAGCCTTTTAAAGTAAAATATAAAATTGAGAAATTTCATACAAAAATAGCATTCGTTAGCCATTTTCACCGCGAAGACAAGTCCAAAGGTAAAATTATTTTTTTTCATAATAAAGTATATTACATTAGCTTTAATTTAAGATACATATAAAAGTGTCAGTATTTCCGGAACACTTAAAAAAGTTAATTTTTTTTGAAAAGGTTGTTATTGTAAATCCCCCATGTAGGCTGGTAAAGGGTTAAATTTATAAAAAAAATATACCAAATGGTAGATACAGACATAAAGCATCTATAAAAGAAAAAAAATTATATTAATTTGTTCATTTTTGAAAAAGTTATGGCAGTTTTAAGAAAAAAAAAATTTCAATAAGTAATGATTTTTAAATTTGTAATTTTTTTGGAGATTTCCCCCATTTACTGGGAACGAGAGAAATTTTTTCAATTTTTGAGGGTAACGTCTTCGACTAGATACGATTTGTGATCTTTTGACGTACGTTGAAAGAAATCGGTTTGGTGAGAGCTGAGAAAAAGTGGTAACAGACACAAAAAAAACACATCATAGTAAAACCTATAACTTCTCAGCTTCGCATCGAAGCTAAAATACGATTTTTATAAAAAAATTCATTTTTATATTTTTAACTCAATATTGCTATAACTTTTTTGAAAATGTATGGATAAATATAATTTTTTTTTGTAGATGCATGATATCTTAACCTATCATTTGGTATATTTTTTTTGTAAATCTAACCCTCT